ACACACAGTGTAAAAGCAACTGGACTTCACACAAAATGACCCCTGCAACAAGCAGGAACCTCACAGAAAACTCAAAAACCAACTATCACATTTTACACAAAAATAACACAAAAGCTGTACAACTGACTCACACACAGTGTAAAAGCAACTGGACTTCACACAAAATGGCCTCTGCAACAAGCAGGAAGACAGTCGGGCACAGCTGATTGTCGCACAGCTGATCATCAGAACTTTTTTAAAGCATTTTTTTTTACTATCGGTTTGGCCAAATAGGTAGTTTAAAAAAATGCTAAAAAAAGTTCTAAGATAGTGTGGCACAGCTGATTGTCGGAACTTTTTTTTACTTTTTTAAGCATTATTTTACTACCGGTTCTGGCAAACAGTAGAAGTTTTTACTACCAGTTTGGGTGAACTGGCCCAAACCGGTAGCATTTTACCCCTGCATGAATATAACGTTAATGTTACAAGAAAAGCTGTTAGAACAATTTCCCACAAATCAACATCAATATATATATTTTAGTGCATGTAACTTGAGTACTTTTTTAGATTTAAAAGCAGCTAGTGGGAATTTTTCTATTATCATGTTAGTTGCTTGGAAAGTAGAGGAGAATTGCTACACAGATAGTCCTCAACTCACAATCACAATTGAACCCAAAATTTCTGTTGCTAAGTAAGACAGAACAAAAACTAACTTTTGTTCCATTTTACAATCTTTCTTGCCACAGTTGTTAAGTGAATCATTGCAGTTGTTAAGTAAGTGACACAGTTGTCTTTTTTAATAAGTTTTTAATTTTATTGACATCATTAAAATACAAACTGTAAAAAAAGGGGGGGGAAATACAACAGAACAAAAGTAAAGACATAGGAAAAAAGTGTATAAAAAGAAAAAGACAAACATAAACATAGATTGTCCCTCCTAGTTGAATACTGATAAATATATTTCAAGAATAATAGCTTTTCCCCCTTGCAAAACAGGCCCAGAGTTTATAAACTTCTACAACTGTTTACCCAACTAATTTGAACCTGGCATCTATCGAGTATATAAAAAACATAATTAACAGGTAAAGTCAACAGCAAAGTTAAAATTCAAAGCTCTTTGTTAATAATCCATTATTGTATTTCATTTGCAGAAAAGCCACATTGGCTTCTGATCTACCATAAACCACCCAATCATTATTACTGATCTGTCCAGGATCAAATTTCCTTGCTTTCCAGCAAGGTTTAAAAACAACAACAACAGAGCTTTTAAAAATTAATAAAACGCAGAATCCTTGTACTGAAAATCCTGTGTAAGTGTAAATAGCTTTCATTACCCTGGAAATTGCCCTTGACTTCCATATAGGGAAAGCGAAAGTGATTTGCAACTCCAAAATAAAGTAATAAACAGATGCAAAAAAGACCCCAAAACCCCCACATTAAAATCCAGCAAAGGGTTAGAATAAGTCGGAATTCAACCAGTTCATTGACAGTTAAAGATAAAAATCAAAATGAAAAAAAAAAAAATTCAAAGCGTGCAGTTAAAACCAAGGGATGCTTAAAATAAATAGCTGAAAGGAAAAGATAGAGATGCGGCTCTCCAGCTGCTCCTACCCAGAATTGCAACTGTCAAGACTCTTCCCAGGTAGGTACACGGTTGTACCAAGGGTCATCTTGGGTCATTCCTAGTTGCTCTGTTTACATTTGGGGAGCACGCCACCAAAGAACCAGTTTTGATGGCAAAACCAGCTGTTTGTCAGCAGGAAACCCCGCCGCTTAGCATGCCATTTTTGGAGGACCAGGGTTGTTAAATAGATCTGGCTTACCCACTATTTTTGCTTGTCGGGAGGTCACAAAAGGTGATCTCATCACCCAGGGACACTGCAACCATCATAAATATGAGCCAGTTGCCAAGTGTCATGTGACCATGGAGATACTGTAGTGGTTGTAAGTATGAAAAACAGTAATAAGTCACTTTTTTTTAGTTCCGTTGCAATTTCAAAATATTACTAAACAAATGATTTAGAGTTTGAGAATTAATCCCCTATATATATTTTAAACAATTAGGACAATTCAATATTCTCTTCTGAAGAATCTGCATAAATCTCTATATACTAATGTACAATATGCTCCTTAGAACGCCATGATGCATTGTATGTTGTCGGGGCACTGGATGAAACTCTGGAATTACGTGGATTGCGTTATCATCCAATTGATATAGAAACTTCAATTTCTCGGATGCACAGGAGCATTGCAGAATGGTAAGTTTTATGCAATATATTCCTTTTGGCAAAATACATTGTTTAACAAGGGTGCAGCAATAGGAAAACAAAGTTACTGACTGTAGTTGTAAATTCAGAGCAACCTGGATCCAGAGCAATCACATCTGTGTTTTGAGAAAATATTAGATTGGGCACATCTATTCAGAACTTTGGATGATAGCCCCAGCTTCCATTTCATTACTGATATGAGAACAGTAGCAAAGTATTCTGTGCTATTTTATAGATTATATAACCATAGCTTAAAATTTTGCATTATACTTTATCAGATTCCTATGTGTAATTGGTTTATTTATTATATAACTATTTATTGTAAACTAAAAGTAGAATGCATGAAGTGAGTTATATATTTTAAAGTGAGTATATTATTGTACTTGATCCATTCCAAGTGATCATTTCAGAATGCATAAAACTTTTAGACAGGGAGATCTTTTAGTTTAAAATTGTGGTATTTAAACATATTAGCATAGTCTTATAAAATAATAATCTGCACACTCATTCCTATCAAGTGTGTGTAATAAACTGGATTTCTTATTTTTCTTTTAGTGCTGTATTCACATGGACCAATTTACTTGTAGTGGTTGTGGAATTGTGTGGCTGTGAGCAAGAAGCTCTTGATTTAGTCCCTCTGGTTACCAATGTGGTCCTGGAAGAACATTATCTGATTGTAGGAGTCGTGGTGGTAGTTGATCCTGGGGTGATACCCATCAATTCCAGAGGAGAGAAGCAGCGGATGCATCTCCGTGACAGTTTCTTGGCTGATCAACTGGATCCCATATATGTAGCATACAACATGTAATTTTGCAAGTGTGGGTCTGAAACTATCCTACAAACTGAGCAAGAACCAGGAATGACTGTGGAAACAAAAGAAGCTGACAGAAGAATTAGCAATGATAGTTGTGAACCTGGACAATGCTGTTTGACTCCTTTTCTCTCCATCTTACTGGACTGACAGCAAGCTGGACTGATCAAAAGACAAAAGATGGCAACCAGGGAACTACATTTGTATTGTAAGATGATAGCTTTACAGGCAATGAAAAATAGGCCCTCGTGAAAAACAAACACCAATTATTAGGGCCTTTATTGTAGTGTTAACATTTTCAATTACTGTATATATTTGTACTTTTTCTAACACTGATTTAGAATTCTATGAGGGATGATTTATTTAGTTAAAATACAAATCTGTAAGAACCTGGTTATGTAAGTCCTATGTATACCGTCTGTAAACAGTGTACTTTAAAACTATTAGCTTAATCCTGTAGTACTGTGTTGAAAGGGATCACGTTTACTTAAAATTGTGCCATGACCACACTCAATATTCAACAGAAGATTCACTTATTCATATAGCTTATCTCATGAACTTAAAAAGAATTTGCCTCTATTTAAAATAATATGTAAATATTAGTATGCATAATTCATTTATTTAGAAAACTGATTCAAATAATTAAGAATTTAACAAAGTCCTTAAATAAATTATGGTTAGGCAATTAAAGTGAGGAATGCAATTAGACTATTAGGTTTCTCTTATTTTGTTGCTGGTCAGGTATGATGGCATAGCATGTAGAAACGTTTTCAATGCAAATGTTTATAAAGAGGCTGACTCTTATCAGCGTTACAAGCATTTTAAAAAGCAAGAAGCAATTCTGTGATTTTGGAATGTTGAATAGAATTTGTATAGCCTACTAAAATGTTTTTTATAAGCAAACACGTGTTAACCAGAACCACTCCATTTATGATCTTAGACATATTTTGTTTGATTGGTGCACAGTAACAATTCATTTGAAAGAAAATTCCTACCATTACTTTGATGTGCTATTTTCTGGGTGGGATTCATTACTGTACTGCAAATCATAGGCTTTTGCAGGATGTCTTTGAATCAGAAACAGCCTATTAATTCTTTTGAAAGATTGGCAAGTTGTGATTATCCCATTCAAAATAGCTGATCAGTTTCAGCCTTCAAAGAATTGATGACAATAGATGCCTTAAAATGTGCTGGAATAGCCATTGTTTGAAAATGGTCTGCAACCCCATCTCCAATAAGCTGGTAGGAAAAACAATATTTCTATTTAAACCATTTTTTTTCTGATTACACTTTAGAATCTTCTTGTTTCTCCTTAAGAAGTTTGTTGAAATAACACAGAAAGCAGATACTAGAAATGGTGACAAACTTCCTTGGGCCATTTGTGGCCTATTGTGTAAATACTTAGAATATTTTAATAATGTCTGTTTACCCTCCCTGTAACAAAGTTAGTGTTTTTAGACATTTTTAAGAGAGATATAAATATAAACCTGGATTAAATCATCAGCTACAGCAGCTATATTAAGTGTAGCTCTGGCAACTTATTCCTTAAGACAAATTCCAAATGTATACTTGAAAACCTTTCTGTACAAACTTTCAAAAGCTTGTTTTTTTAATGGCTTGACGTATAGATATTTAGACAGAAAACTTTTAAATATATTAACAAAATATTCACAATTACCTTCTTATACATATGTTGTTCAATATATCTTGAAGAATTATGGTGAAAGCAGTACAGGGTGGAGGGAGGTTCATTACTTCAAATCGTTGAAATATTAACTAATGGTTCTTAATGAATACGATTTGAATATTTTGCATTATCAGTATTTCCACAGTGTGGTGCTGCTATGTAATTAAAATGCACTCCATGCTGAAGTTGTTTTTAACTTGTAGTTTGCAATAGTTTGGAAAATGAACACAGATAAAGCAGTTGCTGGCACTCCACATGGGAACAGAAGGCCTTCAGCAAATAAATGTTCTGTGTACTCCAGCCTTTATTTATTCACTCCAATGTGGCTCTTAAGAGGTCTCAAGTTTTATAAAAATACACTTTTAATGTCCTACTGAATGAAAACAGAGCATAGTTCTCTACCCAAGGTTGTAGCAGTATTTTCTACACTTATGTTTAGATTCTTATTACATGTAATATGGTAGATTTACTGTGTGCAGTCTAGGAAAACGTTGGAAAATATTACAGATCTTCTAATCTGAAATACTTCAAGTTTTGTTTTCAACATTGACTTCAAATACATCATTTTCTCCTTGATTTAATTGTTAAATATTTTATTTGTTCCCTGTTAATGTGAGATTTTAATATACTTTCTCCAAAGATTTATAATTAATACACCAAGGATTTCAATGTTATTCTTTAGCCCTGAGATCTCTTCAGTGCCACACATATTTGCCTTCCAATAATTTATACACATGGCTGAGATACCAAAGGAATGATTGTAGAATCAGTGCTCTCTTTATGGGGGTTCTGACACTGATTTGCTCAGTGTGGCTTTGGGTGTGCTATTCTGTGTTCTCCATCAGACATTACAGATTCCACATGGAATACAATAAGGATTAGTTCTCAGTAGGTTCTGGAGTTAGCTTGTTCTCCTCCCTCCCCCCCCCCCCTCATTCCATGTAATCATTGTATGGTAATACTTTTTCATATATCCAAAGAAGTTAAAGCCAGCATTTTCAGCCTTGGCTTTTTGGATTTACTTATTAGCTCAGGTAATACTTAATTTAAATACAGTGGCTTGGATCAAAGTATTCCTTCTGCAAATGGAAGGACTGCTGTTTTCATAAGCCCGAGATTAAATTCCAACAACAATGGAAGTGTGGGAGCTCTGTGAATACCCTGTAATTCTCATAACATGTTTCTTTCACATTTTGCTTTTCAGAGGTTTATGGAGTGTTGACAGTGATAGAATTGCCTTCCTATATTCTTCTGTCATGAATATCTCATGAATGCAGTTTTATTAACAAAAAACCCTCTGAATTTACATCATTACTAAATATATATTAATATGAAGCAATTAGAATACTTATTCCTGAGAATGAATTTACTACCCTGAACACAAAACTACAAAACCATTTCACATTTTTTTTCAAAGATAAGCTTTTTTTTAGTTAAATAGTTTGCTTTTCAATTTTTTACTGTGCAGTTTAGCAATGATGGGCCAAGCTTAACTGATGGAGATATGATTGTAAAAACAATAGATCATTGTCTTTAATTTTTTTTTGCTTTTGTTGATGTCAATACGTTTACCATTTGTCAGATTCAAATCACAACTGTGTAATTATGTAAAAAGTCTTTTTTATTTATTTGAAATTAGGTTTTAGATATACTTTTANGAAAAAGGTGCGTCTTATACTCCGAAAAATACGGTATGTGTGCATCTCCCTCTCGTTTTATGCTCTGTAGCCACGAGGCTGACATTTTATATCTGATCATGATTGTGAACAATCTGATTTTTTTCATTTCATCCGATATGAGAAATTGTGCTTCATTAAAAATTAATAATAAGCCAGAGTTTTGATAATCTTGCTTTACAGACAAAAGCTGCGTGATCCAATTTCCTATGTTGACATGAAAAAGGAAATTGCAGATTGATCCAAATTGTCATTAGAACTCTTAAAAGTCTATCTTCTTTGCATATAAAGGGAGAAGAAAGGCAAACATGGAATCCCAGGGCTCTGGCAATAGAAGTGTTGCTCAACACAATATGTTGTTAGATTTGGTTGGTGTAAAATTCTTGGCTGATTCTTCCACTTCCATTTTCCTCAGCAATGGGGCTGTTGAAACTCCTGTCCAATGGTTTATTTATAGTTAAACATGCCATAAAATTCAAGACGACTTCTTCCACCCAAATTAACAATACAAGGGATTATACTTTTTGCTCTGGATACTGGTCAGAACTAGTACATGTCCTGAACTTGAACAAAATGTTACCTGTAAACAAATGTGCTGTATTTGTTCTCTACCTGTTAATGCTCATGGAAGGAACTGGAAGCAGTGTTCATATTAACCAAGCTAAAGCATAGTTAAGCATTGTAGGTGAATTAGATCTGAATGTTCAGTTTTAGGTATAGATTTTCCTCCACAGGATTTTGCAAATTAATTGTACATAACTCAGTACAGATTGTTAGAAAAGATAGTTAAATAGTAAATTCCTAAAATGAAATATAGTGCACATTATGTTCTTTAAAACTATACTGGATAGCAGCCGATGTTTTCGTTTTAATGGTTTGAAAACTTGAGGGTTCATTTAAATATTTGGATGTTGGAGTTTTGTTAGAGTTGAGTTGAGAAGGACATGTCACTCCCATTGTTAGAATTTTCTTCACTGCTGCTTTAGATCAGTATCTTGCCATTGATTCAACAAATATATTGTTTTAATTATCCAACAGCCCTCGACAATACACCCTGATCTGATTTTTTAAAATACAATTCATATCTTTTGATCCTTCAGTTTCTTTTTTCTTTTAATCCTAAAGAATTGCAAACGCTTTGGACCTTCACACAGCTTTTCCATATGGATCTAAATGATGTGGGAAGAGTCCTATGGCTACATTTTGCTTGTTTCTATATTTCTGAAGAACAAGATAAATAAAAAAGATGGGCAAATGTTAGTGATTTCTTAGTGGTTTGCCTGATATTAAAAAACCAAGAGCCTGATTATGTTTTTTAGATGATTATTAGAGCAAATGAACTCCCAAGTACTTGGATATTAACTGGAGCATTGATTAACATTATACCTGCCTGTTTTATATGCTGTCATTTCCCCCCCCAATAATTTTAACCTTTCTGTATTAACAGGCAAGAGGTATCAATTTATCAGGAGTTCGGACATGTGTTGTGGTGGCCGAAGAACGCCCGCGTGTTGCACTTACTCAGTCTTTCTCCAAGCTTTTCAAGGACATTGGTCTATCATCTCGTGCAGTCAGCACCACCTTTGGGTCAAGAGTCAATGTAGCTATCTGTTTACAGGTAACAGTGAAGATTTGGTAGATTTATTTTTAGAGATCAGGGGCTCTGCACATTAGCAGGATTCTCAACCTTTCTAAATCTGTTTGTTCAGGGGTGGGTTGTTGTTTTTTTGGTTGTTTTTTTTTTTTTTTAGCTTCAAGAATTGTGATTGCTGATTTGCAGGCTTTTTTTAGTTACATGGACTCATTCACACTATATATTGCTTATTTTTTTAAAAAAATATTAACCCTTCTTTGTGCTGTGAAAATAAACATATGGCTACTTATACAGTGGGACTCTCTAGTTAAATATAAATGAATAGATTAGATTAATAAAACATTTTTTAAAAATTCAGTTTTTCACTAATATTTTCCAAACTGAAAAAGTAAAGTGGGACTGTGCTATTAACTAAAAGTTGTGGAGCATCTCTCAAGAAAATGTACACGCAGGTATTCTTGGATTTTCAGCAGAAATATTTTCTTTTATGTAATATCTCCCTTATTTGACAGCGTTGGACACTTGTATCTAGTTGGCATTGCTCTCATTGAAAGAGCCTTTAGTATTTATCACTTAGCAGCAGAAAATATGACACATTTAAAAATAATCTCTGTTATTATTATAGGGAACCTCAGGGCCTGATCCAACCACAGTTTATGTGGATCTGAAATCATTGCGACATGACAGGTATTATTATTTTTATTGTATTTGGTTTTTGACTGAATTCTGTAAGAACAGATCATTTTGATCATTTCTGAGTGTGCAATTTATTTCACTTCTTATCAGCAATAACCAGCAGGCACAAGATTATGAGTAGTAGTTCAGAACTTCTGGAAGTTGATGGATGGCTTATCCCAGATTTACATACAAATTTCTTGATTTCCCCAAATATGATTGTATTGGAACAAATCAGTATTTATCATTTATATTATGCTAAGCATATGGTGGTAGCGATCCTTTCGGAAAATGAAAGTGCAATTTCTAACATTCTTATCAGTTACAGATTTACTTTCTTTCTCACCAATAATAAAATTGGCCCAATATTTAACATTCCAGAAAATTATCTTCTCCCACTAAGAGAATAGCCATTCCTTCTGAATTTGCAGAATTCCTAAGATTTCAAGTATCAGTCTACCAGTTCAGATTATTTTATAAACTTTTTTCCCTACTCCAATAAATATTATGAACTGAAGACACTTACAGTTCAATTCCCTTGGTATTCTTACACTTTTACTATATTATATATGCATATACGTTCTGAAAGTTCTAAAACAACCCTATAATGAATGGCTAGTCAATTCAGATTGTTAAACAGGCACTCAGTACTTAAAACTAGCAATTTACATAGACTCTTAGAGGTAGCACTGTAGGGAGAGAAAAATGGCAGTGGGGCTGTGGGGGATTCTTTAGCATAATAGTTGGTGTTAGACAGGATATGGTCAGTGATTGTCCTGATCAAAAGGCCTTGTTGAAGTGAACAATAACAGGATGTTACTCCGGAATTTTTGGTTTTTCGAACAGTCTCTTCCTTTACATTCAGTATTACAAAATCATAATAGGGATCTCTCTGTGTGTGCATGCGCGTACAAGCATGCACATGTGTATGCACACACACACACAATTTTCCTCATTTGGCTCAAAGAGGATAATTCAAATGTACCTACATTTTACTTAGTGGTTCTTGATTTTATGTTACCGAGTGGATAGAAAGCATTAGGATCATTTACAAGGGAGCGGGGAAATACTAGCTGAAGCTCATACATGCTTCAAACATGAATTTTAATGATGGAAAACATTTTCCATTGGTTTTGCCACTCTAGATTAGAACCTCTCCTTTGAAATGCACGCTATCACTTTCAGTATGTGAGAGCTTTCTCACATTTCTTCTTTTTGTTGGCAACATGTAATAATACCCAGCAAACCAAACCTCTTCCCATCTCTCCATATTTATGTCCTAAGATTAGCAGAAGGCAATATATTTCAACAGAGCAGAAGCTAAGAAATCAGCAAGAATCAAAAACTATATCTAATTGGGATGAAATATTATTGATTCTAATAACATCTCAATTCTTAATTCTTATGTGAGAATGACAAGGCAGATAAAGGCATATTTATTAAGGTAAATTTATATACAACCCATTTCACTACTCAATTTCACATCAATTTCACAAAATCACTGTCAAGTGAATGGGCACCTGACAGCACAGTCATATGCTGAAACAAAAAGAAAATGCTTTATTTATAAGGAGACCCTAGAATGAAATACCAATTAATAAAGAAAAACATAAATTTAACAAGGATATTTTATAAAACAGGCAAGAATATGTTTGGTTAATGGCACTTTTTCTGGGTATTAAAAAAAAACATTTCCAGAGAATATGGGTATTTGCTTATCTTACTTCTCCAAAGAATTTGCCAGATTATACCTAGTGCAAATATTCCTCAGCTAAATTTGCCATTATCTTGCTAATAAACAACTATCAGCCAAACAAATTGGGAGATTGAAGGTACTTTGTCAATGTTATTTGGAATGATCATCTTTGGGTTTTTCATTTTTTGAATCATGACTGAACTAAGAACTTCAAAGTTGAGTGCGTTTGTATGTAAAGTAGTTGTGGGTGGATTGCGCAAATCAGGTAACAAAAATAATTTATACTAAGATAAAAGCAGCTGTTCAGAAATAGTGGTTGATTTGAACTTTTGGCCAATCCCTTTCTTTCAACCCAACCCGCTTCACAGTGTTATTGTTGTGGGGAAAATAGGAAGAGGAAGGAGTATTAGGTAAATTTGTCACTTTGGGTTATTTATGAACAATAATAAAGGTGGGATAANAAGCTTAACTGATGGAGATATGATTGTAAAAACAATAGATCATTGTCTTTATTTTTTTTTTGCTTTTGTTGATGTCAATACGTTTACCATTTGTCAGATTCAAATCACAACTGTGTAATTATGTAAAAAGTCTTTTTTATTTATTTGAAATTAGGTTTTAGATATACTTTTAAAAAATTTAACATCTGGCTGGACAGTGTTCCATTAATGCATTGATTGTGTCTTTCTTGTCTTGTGTTAATAAATAATGATGCCTGTCTGTTTTTATTATATCATTAACATTTTATCCCATGTTTTTTTTCCCCAAAGCCTGTTGGATATTACCAACTTTAACTCTTGTTGGTGAAGTCTTCACATATAATATTCCCTTGTTCAATTAATTCTGCACAGTATATAGTAAATTGAATGGTGAGGTGTTGGCCTAATAATCTAGTGAGTTTCTGTGATTGAATATTATTTGCATCTTATTGATCCTAGTCTAATTCCAATCATTATAGGACTTATATGAAACACTAATTGATTTTTGGCAAAGTCCCTGAAGAGAATTACTATAATTATTTTTAAAAAATTAAAGAGAAAAAAGCAGAACAATCCCCAAAATTTAAAAAAGATATTAAATAAATAAATGCTAACTCAAAAAGAAAGTATATTTTGCATCAAACGTATTCCTAAGTAGCCCCTAGAGAAAAAATAACTGTCGTAAAAATGTCCTAAAGGTAACAAGTTTGTATTCTGAGTCTTACTAAGAACAAAAATATACTGTCATTTGTCCTCACTATTAGTCGTTCTACACTCCTGCAGAACAAGTCCTTTGGCATGCATTAAGAGCTAGGAAGAAAAGCAGAAATTTCTGTCACTCAGGTTGAAGTTCAACCATGGGAAAGTAATCAAGAATTTTTGATCACCTAGTGGCCTGCTAGATTTTTGCAGCCCATATCCCTCATGACACTCTACAATGTCTACAAAGTGCCCAGCCTAGAATGAACTACTGAAACTGTACTTGGGGGCAATGTACTTCAGAGATACCCTATTGTAAGGCAATAAGATATTGAAAGATCAGGCAAGGAGTGTCTATGGAGAGTCTCAGTCATCCAGACAATCCATGATTGTCCCAAAGCTGCTTTTTCAAGAGGCAACTGGACTTTAGGTTTTTTTTTTAAAGACGTTTTGCTTCTCATCCAAGAAGCTTCTTCAGCTCAGACTGGATGGTGGGGAATGGAAGGATTTATAATCCTTGCAGACAGCTGGTCATTTGCATTCTTTTAGAGAGTCCTTGGGGCCACTTGGAGGTTTATCTGTCAGGAATGGGTATGGAACCTTCTTAGAACTGTTGAAAGGACTGTTATAGACTGGAGATAGATGATGTTGCAACCCTCCCCCTCTGTTGAGAGGGCTGTTCAATTGACATACTGGTATTGGTTTATGGACAATACTTTGGTTAAGATTAAAACAAAGGAATTAGAAGCATTCATCAAACAAACTCTCTGGACAGAAAAATCAAATTCACACTGGAAGATCTTAAGGAAAATAGTTTAGCCTTTGTGTGCTATGCAGTACACATTAAGGAAGATAGAAGCCTTGACATTGAAGTTTACAGAAAACCACACACATGAATCAATGTTTACAGTTTGATTTTCACCACCCATTGGAGCACAAAATGGGAATCATCAAAGCCCTACATCACTGAGCTGAAGGTCTGCCTACCCGCAAAGATGGTAAGGAAAAAGAATAAAACACCTCAAAGAAGCCCTTAGAGTGTGTTGTTATCCCAAGTGGGCCTTCACCAAATCTCCAAAAAGACCCTACAAGAACTCCTCTATAACAGACTACACAGAGAACAATAGATGAACCAACATCGTCATTCCATACACCCATCTGCATTACTTGGTGACCCTGACCATAGTTCTCCTCTAAGTGGCTTCAAGGACTCTCTAAAAGAATGGAAATGACCAGCATTCTGCAAGGAATATATCGGTAAATCCTTCCATTTCTCACCATCCAGTCAGAGCTGAAGTTTCTTGGATGAGAAATGAAATATCTTCAAACAAAAACCAGAAAGTCCAGTTGCCTCTTGAAAAGACACCTTTGGGACATTAGGCAAGGAGGATACAGCACATGCAAGAGCTTGATTTTTAATTGCACCATATACTATACCATGTTAAGGAAACATAGATTGAGGCTATCATTCTTTTATCTTTAATAAGGCAAAGCAGGCATTTTGTTTAAAATTATATGGTTCATGGGCATGCTGCAAAACAATTGTATCAGCCTCTAATATATTTAGAGGAATGCAGCTAAAACCCATATAAATATCAGATATAAAACTAATGGCTGGTGAGAAGAAATGCCAAGGTAACTTAGGTTAATAAATGGCATTGAGCAATCTCTCCATTTTGTTATTTGGTTGTTCAGTCCATTCCAATTCTTCATGATCCAATGGATATAATTTCATCACGATGAGGAACTATTTCTAGTGTCCTGTAAACTGAGGGTTTTTTTTTTTACTAGCCCCACCCAAGAGAGTGGTTAATTGGTGAGCAGGCAATCATTTTGTGACTGTGCACAAATTCTCAACATTTCATATGTATGTGCAACCCAAAAGCTCCTTCAGTCATTTCTTGTGAAAACATAAAATCTCTTGAATTCAAGACGAAAATAAGAACAGATCTTCACGTCCAAACTTTTCTTCCTTTCACTTCCTCCCAGTGCACAGAAGAGGAAGATGTGACTGATCCGCTCTCAACTTTAAAATTCGCAGCCGGAATGTAAAATCTGGAGTTACGTAGAATTGAGCAAGCTTTTTTAAATGCACACCTGTGTTTGAACTGTTTTATTTTTTTCGCTTGCCCGCTGCGTCCGTAAATATAATAAGTTTTTTTTTAACTAATACTCTGCTCTTGTGAGATACAGGCCAAGATTGCAATCCTAAAGTTGTTTATTTGAAGTCACTTCTGAATACACTTAAGTAGAATCAAGATACGATCCTATGTAGGCAGACTTACTGGTCGCGATAAAAAGGCATCGAAAGGTACGAAACCAGAGTCCAAAGGCCTCAAAAATACCCATTGCTTTGCCACTCTAGCGTCCACAGACTTCCAACTCTCTGATTCCCGGCTGCGGTTAGTCTACTCTAGACCAAGGGAAAAAGAGAAACTCTATTGTTATCAGGCGGTAGCCAACTCTAGCGCTGGCCTCCGGCGCACTCTATAGTCACAACCCGCCCACCAAGAGCAACCGCAGGGTATCGTCCCCCTGGCGGGGATTAGTTTGGTAATGCTGACAAGTAGCGGTGGGTCCGGTTTCTTGAGGCGTTAGGGCGATTCCCTGTGGGGCAACGCGAAGTCGAGGCGAAGCCCGGAAAGCCTCTGAGGTAAAAGCGGGCGCGACGGCCAAGCCACTCAATTTAGAGCGCGAAGCGGATCGGACGCGACTGAAACCATCGAGCGGGAAGAGGAAGGAAGGGAGAGCGAGTGGGGGGAGGGAGCGGGGAGAGAAGCGCCTGAGCAAAGTCCGGGGAGGGGAGTTGTTGGGCGACCCCCTTCCAGAGCACGCGCGCATAAAAAAGGCGCGAGGCACTGCCGGGGGGGGGGGAAGGGTGGGAGGCTTTGGAGGCAGTTGGAATTTGGCGGGAGGGGAAGCCTGTGATGCGCCGCGTCGGTGGCGACGAGCGCTCAGCCCTTCGTTCCCAGCTGTTGCTCAAGCACCGGGGCTCGCGTGCTGACATCCGTACCTTCTTGCCGCGGCTTATCAGTCCAAAAGATCAGGGTGCCCACCCCCACCCCCCCAAAAAAACAACGGGCAAGGCTTGCTATATAAAAGCTGTCGTTGCTCGCTGAGCGGCATCTGCCCAATAAATTTACACCCGCTTACCCTCCTCAGGCCGATGGCTTCAAGCAGAGCCGACTTTTTAAACACTTTTAAAGACATTTTGTGCCGACGCCAGAGGATGGGAGTACTTTATAGAACCTTCAAATGTCACAGAAATCAACAGCGGGCTGCCTCGATACTACGCGACGGTGGTTGGTGCCAGGGCAAATAACTGGCATTAGGTAGAGGTTTATGCCGCATAAACCATTATGCCCCACTTCCAGCAGACCGTCAAATGCCAGAATCAATCATGATTTTATGCCTCGAAATCCTCTTAAGAATTAAGTACATTGTAGCCCCGAAACCGGGAGTCTTGTAGGGCCGTTTTCTACTACAACGTTTTTGTGAACTACAACTCACTTCATCGGATGCATACGATTTAAGTTAGACTTGGGAGCGAAGAGCTGTGTCATATAGGTCAGATTACACATGCTCTATCAATAATTATAATGAGTATTATTGGGGCCTGAAACCTTTTAAATGTAGGTGACCTCAGCAGTCTCATTCAAGTTGTACTGTGGACTTTTCATTGGTTTCAGAGTTATTCCAAAATCTATCACAAAGATTAAAATCACAGATCGAAATGCTGGTATCACTTTTCTTTTGAGTCTGGTGTGAAATCAATGACTATTGTACTAATTGTCTTATGTAGCATTCAAAAGGGTATTTCTGGGCAGGTGGAGGAAGAGTGTGGGAAGGCACTGAGACTTGTGATGATGCAGTTACTATAAATGAGGGGGCAAGTAGGCATCTGCAGAGTGTGCAGGGTCTGGTTACCTCATCAGTATTATTTCCCTGTTTCTGATTACTTTTGAAAATCAGCTTCAGGATGGATGGTTGTCTGCATGCAAGTACAGTCCTGTCTGAGAAAGTGCAATGTCATTGTCCAGTATGGGTTGTATTTTATTAATAATGTTTCAATGAATTGAGGTATAGGTTGGACAACCAGTGATGTTCTGTTCTTGTGCAGCAGTCTACCTACTGGTCTTCCCTGGAATTGATCTGGCTCTGTTAATTTGTTTGTTACACTGTCCTTGGTTGTTTTTCTTTAAGTTTGCTACACGTTTCATGGGGAGGAGAGAAGGCTTGCATAATCATTTCCTCAGAATTTCTTCCCAAGGAGACTTGCTTGATACAAACCATACTCTTTTGGTGCCAGGTGGAGCCTGATTTTTTTTTTATTTCATGCTTAAATAAATCATTGCAAATTGTTTATTTAAAGTCTTTTTATAATAACCATCTAATGAATTCTTCGGTGTGGCTCTCGTGGCCTTTTAAAATCCAATCACTGCTTTTACTGTGGTTATTTTTAGTCTGTTTCATTTAAGTGTGTGTATGTCTTTTGTAAGTAGCACACAGTGAAAATAGGGATCCAAACTCAAAATAAATAAA